CCCGAGGATTGGTGTTAATTTAAGAAAGGTTGGGAAGGGGTATATAAATGGGTCTCTTAAAATGGATCCAGAATGTGGGAATATTTCTGAGCTATGTTAATGCTCACAGCAAAGCCCTCACTGTCCAAGAGGCTCTGAATAATCAAGTAGTATAATAAGTATATAATCAAGGTAATCTATTCTATAGATGTTAGTCTCTTGTCAAGCCAGTGCTTAATGGGAACATATAGTGCCAGCAAAGCAAAGATGGCGTCTACAGATAGACTTGCACTTTCAGAGGCTTTCCTGGCTACTGCTGCCTCCCCTCTCCCACCTTCTCTACCTCCCCCCTCTCTTTGCCAAGAGCCCTTCTTATGGGGTCAGCCAGCTACCCAGTAGCCAACTAATTGTATTAGAAGGGGTAATGTTTTAGCAGTTTTGTCCTCATTGGTAGACATATTATGGTCTTAGATTTGCTTTTCTTGTTTGTGATACTTCTGGCAGCACCACCATTTATGGATTTACTGAATAATTTATACATTATCATGGATTCCCACACATTACTCTGATCAAGGAACTTACCTCACCAAAAAAGAGGTAGGATCACATGCTTAATTCTTGTTTTGTTAATCTCTCCATTATGCACCTCTACCTTATCAACTGCTGTTTCTGAACATTGGAATAATCTACTGAAGACTTAGTTACGAAGCAAGCTGAGACAATACTTACAGTTGGGGTCTTTTTGGATGCGGTGTTTATTTTTATTCAACAACTGATTTTTTTTTTTTAATTTTTTTTTAATTTATTTATTTTTCCCCTAAAGCCCCAAGCGATAGTTGTAAGTCATAGTTGCACATTCTTCTAGTTGCTGTATGTGGGACGCGGCCTCAGCATGGCCGGAGAAGCAGTGCGTCTGTGCGCGCCCGGGATCCGAACCCGGGCAGCCTGCATCAGAGCGCACGCACTTAACCGCTAAGCCACGGGGCCGGCCCACAACAACTGATTTTTGATAGTGTTCCTCCCATTCCTATTTACATAGATCCAAGAACCAAGAGGCCTGTCACGACTACACCCAATTACCCACTCATAAAATTTTTGCTTTTTGTCCCTCTGACTCTGGACTCGGCTGTTTTTAAAGGTTTTAGTACTTAGGGAAGGAGTTCAAAGGAAATTTGTTCAAAAGAATTGGAAGTTCAAACTGCCACGTGGTAATTCTAGATTCTTTATGCCACCGGGTAATCAGGCAAAAAAGAGGCTTACCATGTTAGTTGGGGTGTTTTAACCTTTTAACCTTGCCACATAATGAGAGCAGGGAGGGTATAAAAGATTCTCTGAGATGTGTTCTCATACTACCACATATGGTGGCAAAAGAACCAACAAGAGCTTCGACTTGTCAGAAATAAATTTGGTCACTCTATCAGTTAAGAAACCTAATTTGCCAAGGTAGTAGCCAAAACAAAGATAAAAAAACAGATGCAAAGGAAGGTTGGTTTCATGACCAGATGCTTAAATAAGACAGTTAACTTTTACCTGTATTTCCTTGCTGTCATATATATCATGTACAAATTTCTCATTTCTTTCCTTTTGTTTGTGTTAATAAGTATTAAAATGACTATTTAGTGTAATCTGCAGAATATCAATAAGAGAATGTGGCAAAACTAGAAGAATGGACATAACCTGAAGGTCCTGGCTGTGGTAGTAAACAAGAGCTGCATTGTTAGGCATGAGTACTTTTGTATGTTTAAGTATGAAAGGAATAGTATGTGTGAGGAAACTGAACAGCCAAGAGTGAATTGTAGTGAGTATTTGTCTTTTTTGGTTGTTTGATATCCAATCCAGACAGATAGAAATTGGAACAATTCCAGATGCTGCCTTCAATTACAGAAGCCAAAAGGAATAGGCACAGGACCTCATCTTGGCCAATTGGGCACTCTCTCCAAGAACTCTGAAGCTTGAACTGAACTTGCCAAGAACAAGAACAAATGACAGGAAAGATTCATTGTAACATCCTGACCAGGTTATTCCCACTATTGAACAGTCCCTTTGCTTCCTCCTCCTTGACCCTCTAGTCCTTTCTTGGTTCCTGCCCACCAGTTCCGAGAGCCACTGGATAGCCTCCAATAAATTCCCTTTTCCTTGTTAGTCCGATGGTTTCTGTTGCTGGCAATATATGGCCCTGATATAAGCAAGAAAACAGGCAGAAATGGAAAAGTAGACAAATATAAATATCTCTTTTAAAAGTCTATCTTATCTTTTCAAAGAATCCACTTTGGGTATTGGATGTTGTCATGCATGTTTGTGCCACCCCCTCCCCCCTAATTCGTTTGTTGAAACTGTAACCCCTAATAGGATGGTATTAGGAGGCAGAGCCTTTGGGAGGTAATTAGGTCATGAGGGTGCAGCCCCTATGACAGAATTAGTATCCTTATAAGAGCAAGAGAACCCCCAACCCTCTCTACCAAGTGAGGATATGAGAAAATGGCTGTCCATAAACTGGGAAGAGGGTCTTCACTGGAACCCAACCACGCTGGCACCCTGATCATGGACTTGCAGTCTTCAGAACTGTGAGAAATAAATGTCTGTTGTTTAAGCAACAGTCTGTGGTAACTTACAGCAGCCTGAGCTAAGACAGATCGCATCTCTCTTTTTTTGGTGGTGTTCTCCATTGATTGTGTTTCCAATCTGTTTTGGGGAGTTCACTCTGCTGCTTTTTCTAACTTCTGATTTGTATTCTTAGCTTGTTTATTTTCAATCTTCCTTGTGTCCTGATAAATGTATTTGAAGTTATCAATTTCCTTTACAGTGTGTCATCAGAGTCCTACAAATTCTGACATAGTGTTTTCGTTGTAGATTAAATCTAACTATTTTGTTAAATATTATTCTTCCCATTTTACAGAGGAAACAGAGAAACATTATTAAGATCAGTACTATATTTAAAACTCATTATCTTATTTAACTACAGACACATCTTGATAACTATAGTGACATTCTGCTAACACTTAAAAAGGCAGAATTGAGGGGCCAGCCAGTGGCATAGTGAATAAGTTCACGTGCTCCACTTCAGTGGCCCAGGGTTTGTAGATTTGGATCCCAGGTGTGGACCCATGCACTGCTCATCAAGCCATGCTGTGGTGGCGTCCCACATACAAAAGAGAGGAAGATGGGCACAGATGTTAGCTCAGAGCTAGTCTTCCTCAGCAAAAAAAGGAAGACTGGCAATAGATGTTAGCTCAGGGCCAATCTTCCTCACCCAAAAAAAAGGGGGGGGGATTGAATTTAGGAACATTTATAAATTCCTGATGAAACCAAAAGTAGATTAATAACTAGTTTTACTCAAAAACTTTTGAGGTCACTGAGACTAATCATTAGCCACAGGCACAGTTATATCCTGTGTATCCTTCAGAAGTAACTGAGTGGCATGTTGTAAGCTACAGATAAAGAGATGAGATCATCCGAGGCAGTCTCATAATAGAGATGGATTCCAGCTGCTAGGTAAACTCATCTTGACTCCTTTTGTTGAAATTAACAAAAACCTGTATGAACAGCAGAGGCCAACGGAGCAATTTATTGGCTCATGTAACCAAATTTCAAGAATGGCAGGGTCACCACTGGGCTTCGGGGACCAGGGGAATGTCATTAGCAGTATCCACGTCAGCTTTATTCCCACTGAGCTTGGCTGAATGCTGGCTGCTAGCATCACGTGGCCTTGTATCTTACCAGCTTCATAATACCTTAATTTCAGGTTGAAAAATCCGGGGAAGAGACTGGCCTGATCTGAGTCATGTCTCCATTCCTGTTGCAGTCACTGTGACCAGGAGAGATGAGAAACTAGGATTGGCCTAGCTTTGATTAGGTATCTATTCTTAGTCAATCACTCTGTTACAGAAGTAGGATGGTTTCTATCTGGACCCTATGTTAGAATGGAGAGAGGGGAGTAATTTCCCAACAAAGAGTGCTAGTCCAGAAAAAATAGGGTTCCAGAATTAATCTCTTACAGACATATATGTATGTATCTAATAGATATCTACATACAAAGGGTCTGGAAGAAGCTATCCAATTTGAGGGAGGGCGGTGACTTGGAGGCATGGAGAGAATAAAAACTGATTCTGTTACTTCTACATTGCTTTAGAACCAAGGTGGGGAGGAAGTGGGGGAGGAAGGCAGAGAGTGAAAATATATTCATTGCAACAATCACTCCAGAAGGAATACTTAAGCCATGGGATTTGTATTTATGTATTTACACATACACACAGACACACCCATAATAATCTAAACATTTACTTCAGATAATTTAAGTTGGAGCAGTATTTGTCATTTCTGACGAAAGGCTTTTGAATTGTAAAAAAATGTTAAGACTTTTAGAAACATATTAAATCATTTTCTCAGTGACAACACTCCACAGATAACAGGAACACACTGAACATATTCATATTCATTTTCCATTTAGCCCAAATCAGCAGTTTGACTACACAATGCCTTCCTAATGCAAGTTTTTCTATGGCCAGGGAAAACAGCATTTTAAATAGTCCATCTTTCTAAACTTGAAGTGATGTCAGTAAGTGTGTGAATCAGACAAACAGGTATTTAGAAAGGAAGTGGGAACAATTAAAGTTTAATTACTATAAAAACAACTAACACCACAATTAAAGAATATTTAAATAGAAAAATTATGAAACCATATATAAAAAATTATACATATATATACACACTGTATCAAAATACCATTTCTATTTTGGTAACTAAATTTTTGAGATTAAAAACAAACTAGTTCAAGCATTTCTAAATATAAAAATTTCAGGTTTATATTTATTGAAAACAAAATAATATCAGTTCTATTGAAGTAACCATATATACACCAAGACAAGTATCTGGAATTATAGAAACAGAAATAGTGAACAATTTCAAATTTCTCAGTATTTTAATGGCTTAAATAATTTACCTTCTTTCAGTCATTTTTTGTTAAAAATAAATTTACTTAATTTTAAAATCAGGTCAATGTGCTTTTTTTTGCTGTTTTTTTAAAAGACAAAATACTTATTAAAAATGATAAGTATTAGGTTTGAACCAGCTAAAAAATAACATTTACATTTCTCTAGATGTAACAATTTTTAAAACATACAAATTCAATATGTAGTAGGAAAATATGTAAAAAAAAAAACACATAAGGAACTAGGCCCCATTAAAAAATATAAATGCACCTTCTACTGATTATAGGAATATCAAAAACTAAATGTTCTGATTTGAAAGTAGCTTCTATAAAACGTCAAAGTAGTAGGCATTGTTTGCTTTCCTAATACAGTGAATTAAATAAGAAATATTTCTATGTCAATTAAACAGTAATATCGGTATTTCTTAGCAAAAATGTAGTACATAGACGGAAAGGTAGGCATTGTCCTGTATTCAAGTTTTCGAGTTTAGTTCCATTAAAATGTTTTCTACAACTTATAAAAAACTACACACACAAAAGTAAAAAGGTGAGGTAAACATCTTACACTTTTAAGAAATTACTTGAAACTTAATACTCAGATATTCCCAATGCCTAGGCTCTAGAACGATGTTTAAGAAGATCCTCCATAATGATGATGATAGGACACGTATCTGAATAGCATAAGAACAGGTTTCTTGGTCTTCTGCATAGGCAATGATGTTCTTCCCTGTTATTACAAAGCAATCATGACTAAGTTTTGCCAAGAATATTGCTTCAGTGTGGGTTTACAGGAGGCACCATGCTACAGTAAGAGCAGCTACAATGCCATTCAAAATTGCCATGCTATAGCCCATGTGGAAAGAATGTCCAGTAAGTTTCCTAGGAGGGAAAAAAAACAAATGAAAAAAGGAAAATGTAATTATATATAACAGAAAAACACCCCCAGTTTTTACTGAAAATGATTACAATCTGGAAATATGTTCCCCAAAAGTTTTATACATTAACACAAGTTTAAAAACAACACTGAACATCTGCAGGATTAGTAATGGACAGATCTCAAGTTCTCTGTCAAAAACTGACCTGATTATCAAGTATAATTTTTCCATTTCACTACTTAGAGCAACATGCTGAGTTTAATCCCTATACTTCTTTACAGTGCTTCAGTCACTGTGTATACCATAACCTAAAGTTTTTATTTACTCTCGCCACTCAACCTTACTCACCTAGAGACTGGTTTAAGACGCTTCTCATGTGCCATTAAAGGTTAACCTACGTAGCTGTATTACCTATTATATGGTAAAATAAAATAATAGATGCACTAAATGTTTTGCCTCTTTAAAAAAAAAAAATTCCTCAAACACACGATTAGTAAACAGAAACCTGATCATAAAATTAAACTGTCAGCATTATCATTCATTGTAAAAAAAAAAAAAACACTAACGACTCGAGAACACTTAAATTCATACTAACAAATTGAAGTTAATCATGGCACAGAATTTCAGGACTTAATTGTTCTTTTTTACTAACTTTGTGACCTCATACTCCCATAAAAATAGAAAAACCTCTAAAGTACAGTCTACTAAACTTCAGGAAGTTATAATAACTACAATGTTGATATAATTGAATTTTACTGAGATATACATGCTCTAATGCTTAGGGACCCTTACAAAACAGGCAAAGCAAGAAATTATAATGGCAAGGAAGACACGTTCCAGAGCAGTGGTTTACCATCTCAAACATACCACATTCCCACTGTGAACACTGTAGTAGTTGTCACACATGTACTGCAGGGCAAGGGACTTAAAAATCTTTGAGGAATCACTTGCTTTAAAGCTCCTTTTCAAAATACTCCCCATGATTTTCCTCTCTGGGGGAAGATAAAGACAACCCCTGGCAGGTTCTCTCCTACGATTCTTTTTTTTTTTGGTTCTTTTTTATTAAAGTGCAGGGAGGAACAGGAATGCTAAGTCATGATGGCCTGTGATAAGTGCTATTATGGAACTGCATACAGAGCTGTGTGGGGACAATTTAGGAGGGCAGTTCTCCTTTGGAAGATAGGGACTCGACATTGAGTTGTGTGTGTACATGTACGTGTGTGTATATCTGACACATTTAAGCCATAAATAGTAAGAGGAAAGTCTATTTCTTAATCTGTAGTATTCAGGGTAATTACTCTTTTTTTAACTGAGGTAAAAACGACATAACATCATATTAGTTTCAAGTGTACAATATAATGATTCGATATTTGTATATATTGCGAAATGATCACCACAGTAAATCTAGTTAACATCTGTCACCACACAGAGTTATAAAAATTTTTTTTCTTGTGATGAGGACTTTTAAGATTTACTCTCTTGGAAACTTTCAAATATTCAATACAGTATTATTAACCGTAGTCCCCATGCTGTACATCACATCCTCATGATTTAATTATTTTATAACTAGAAGCTTGTACCTTTTGACCCCCTTCACCCATTTCTTCCACCCCCTGCCTCTGGCAACTACCAATCTGTTCTCTGTGTCTATAAGCTTGGTTTTGGTTGTCGTTTTTTAAATTCCACATGTAAGTGAGATCATATGGTATTTGCCTTTCTCCATCTGGCTTATTTCACTTAGCATAATGCCCTCAACGTCCATCTATGTTGTTACAAATGGCAGCATTTCCTTCTTTCTCATGGCTGAACGGTATTCCATTATATATATATATACACACCACAATTTTTTTATCCATTCATCCACTGATGAACACTTAGGTTGTTTCCATATCTTTGCTACTGAAAATAATGCCTCAATAAACATGAAGGTGCACATATCTTTTCAAATTAGTGTTTTCATTTTCCTTAAATACTCAAAAGTAGAATGGCTGGATCATATGATAGGTCTATTTTTAATTTTTTGAGGAATCTCCATACTGTTTTTACATAGTGGTTGTATCAATTTACATTCCCACCAACAGTACACAAGGGTCCTCTTTTCTCTACATCCTCACCAACACTTGTTATCTCTTGTCTTTTTGGTAACAGCCAAACACCCCTGGTAACAGGGGTGAAGTGATATCTCATTGTAATTTTGATTTGCATTTCCCTGTTGATTAGTGATGTTGAGCATCTTTTCATGTACCTGTTGGCCATCTATGTGTCTTCTTTGGAAAAATATCTATTCAGATCCTCTGCCCATTTTTTAATGGGACTCTTTGGTTTTTTGCTATTGAGTTGTATGATCTCCTATGATACTTATTTGTGATCTTTGAAGTTCTGTTAAAACACTCAAGGTATCTTGGTTCCCATTTGTCAAAACCTTTCATTTATCTCTGGTAGAGGACATGTTTTGTTTTTTGTTTTTTTTTTTTTTTGAGGAAGATTGGCCCTCTGTTGCCAATCTTCCTCCCTTTCCCTTTTTCTCCCCAGTGCCCCAGTAGATAGTTGTATGTCATAGTTGTACATCCTTCTAGTTGCTCTATGTGGGACGCCGCCTCAGCATGGCTTGATGAGGGGTGCGCAGCTTCACGCCCAGAATCCGAACCGATGAACCCTGGGCCGCCAAAGCAGAGCACGTGAACTTAACCGCTACGCCACCAGGCTGGCCTCTAGAGGGCATATTTTGAATTCACTCAGCCATAATGAAAATACTATCTTCAATTACTGAATTTAAAATGATGACTAAGTATGGTGGCTTTTTTACTCTCTCTAGATATGCATTTTACTTTTTAAATTAAAGTATACACAGTAAGGTGCAAATGCTAACATGTATACAGATCAAGGAATTTTTATTCACAGACTTACCATCCAGGTCAAATATAGAATATTTCCAGCACTGCAGAAAGCTCCTTTGTTCTTCTTCCCTGTCAGTATCCACCTCCCCTCTCCCAAATCCTGAGATAACTGCTATACTGTTGGCTATCATGACGACTGGTTCAGCTGCCCTTTAAACTCCAACTATATGACATCAAACAATACATATTCTTCTGTGTCTGGATTCTTTCAGTCAATATCATGTCTGTGAGATTCATCCAAGTGATTGTATTCAGCGTAAGTGTGTTCTTTTGTGTTGCAGTTTAGTACTCCATTATATAAAAATACCAAAATTAATTTATTCTAGTGTTGGACATCTGTGTTGTTTCTAATCTGGGGCCCCTATAAATACAGATACTATGAACATGATACTACAAACATTATCTTTGGTGGGTGCTGGGCATCTGCACTCACTCCTCTTAGGTATATCCCAGGAGTGGAATTGCTGGGTTATAAGGCAGATGTAAATTTGGCTTTAGTAGAAAGCATCAAACATTTTCCCAAAATAGTTGACTACTTTACACTTCCACCAGCAATGTATGAGAGTTTCCCTTGCTCCACATTGCCACCAACATTTGGTATCACTAGTCTTTTTAATTTTAGCGGGTCTGCAGAGCATGTTGTTATGGTTTTAATATTCATTCTTCTGATGACTAACCTACTTACTGCCTATTTAGATATCCTCTTTTTTGAATTTCCTGTTTGTCTTTTGCTGATTTTTCTATTGGTTTATAGAGTTCTTTACATATTCTAGATACTAATCCTTTGTCAGAAATGTGTCATGGACATCTTCTGTTTATGGCTTGTCTTTTCACTCTCTTAATAAGATCTTTTGACGAACACAAGTTCTTAAAGTCCAATTTACTGTTTTTTTTAAAGGTTAGTACTTTTTTTTTGTGGCTTTTTCAATAAATCTTTGACTACTCCAAGGTTGTAAAGATATTCCATTTTTTAGAGAGCCTTTATTGTTCTTCCTTTGACATTTAGATCTATCATTCATCTCAAATTAATTTTTCTGTACAGTATAAGGCAGAGGTAAGGCTCATTTTATTCCTTATGTATATCCAATTGTTTCACCACTATTTATTGAAAAGACCATCTTTTCCCCTCATTGAATTGCTATGGTGCCTTTGTCCTAAGTCATATAACTATGTATGTGTGGGTCTGTTTTTGGACCTTCTATTCCATTCTTTTGGTCTATTTGTCTATCTCTGATAAAATCAACAACTTTTCTATATAGCAGCATTAGGCAATTAAAAAATTTTATGCTAAAGATCCCTTATAATATCAAAGAAAAACTACAAAATCTTAGAAATGCAACTAACAATAATGTGCAAGAATCACATGAAGATAATCATAACTTTACTGAAGAAGATCTAAATAAATAGAAAGACATCCTGTGTTCATGGAATTGAAAACAATATTGTCAACATGGCAATATTCCCTAAACTGATCTATAGGCTCAAAATTCCAATTGCCTTTTTTTTGCAGATATAAACAAGTTGATCCTAAAATTCATATGGAAATGCAAGAGACCTCAAATAGCCAAAACAATCTTGAAAAAGAACAAAGTTGGAGAACTCACACTTCCCAACTTCAAAATTTACTACAAAGCTACAGTTATCAAATGCTGTGGTAGTGGCATAAGGACAGACATATAGACCAATGGAATCGAACTGAGAGTCCAGAAATAAGCCCATATTATTTATAGACAGTTATGTGTCAACAAGGTACCACAACCACTTAGAGAAAGAACAGGCTTTTCAATAAATGGTGCCAGGACAACTGGATGCAAAAGAATGAATATGGTCCTCTACCTCACACAATATACAAAAATTAACTCAAAATGGACCAGACCTAAATGTAAGAACTAAAACTATAAAATCCTTAGAAGGAAGTGTAGGTATAAATCTTCATGACCTTGAATTAAGCAATGGTTTCTTAGATCTAAGACCAAAGCATAAGCAACTAAAGAAAAAAACAGATAAATTGGACTTCATCAAATTAAAAACTTTTGTGCTTCAAAGGACGCTATCAAGAAAGTGAAAAGACAACCCACAGAATGGAAGAAAATATTTGCAAATCATG